TAAGATTCCTTCAAGTTCTAGATTTCTGAATTTGTGATCCTACGCTCTGGCTGTTGCCAGAGAAGAAAGGTGAAACTGTCTAGGAATATTCTTAAGGACAGATGTTGGATACCAACATTGTAGCTTGATAAGAATTGTTGTTTGTCCTTCATTCTCAAAGAGGACCATAACATCAGGGAGGTGATACCGTGACATGCAAGTGAGTTGGATTTGAGTGAGGGAGGGCTCTGCATAGTCACAAGCCTCACTTTCTCCTCCAGAGCATTCTGGGTCCAGTGGCCAGACATGGATCAGGACGACTGGAGATGGCCCAGGATGCAGTGGGGGACCTTGGCCTTTTCAAGCTGAGGTCTTTTAGAGGTCTCAGTTTGACTGAGGCAATGCCCATTCAGTGATTAAGGCTAGGTTAAAAAAAAAATGAGGCAAAGAATGGCCTCTTTAAGCTGGTTCAGAAAAAAAAAATTAAATTGGGAGGGGAAGACCCTCGGGGTCTTAAAAAAATGATATAAAAATCTAGCTAGTAGAAAACACCACATCACCTGATTAAAGACAACAAAGAAGAAATAGTGCAATGCAATCTGGAAAACAAAAATATATTGGATATTCAACTCAATAAACATTTATTAAATGCATACTATGTGCCAGGCATTTGTGCTATGCTCTGGGGATACAAATAAGAGAAAGACAGCCCCTACACTCAAGGAGCTTACGACCTAGTGGGAGAAAACAAGCACATAAAAAGAAGCCGGAAGTTAGGGCAGGAAGGGAAGAACACCAGGGATTGGCTTGGAGTAAGCTATCCTGTTCGCTGGAATTTAGACCAGGAAGAGCTGCAGATTGATTGATTGATTGATTTAGATTTATCAATAATCGCTTCCATAAGCTTTTGAGTTTTTAGTTTTTCTCCCCCTCCCTCCTCACCTCCCTTCCCAAGAAGGCATGCAATCTAATATAGGCTATACATATACATTCCTATTAAACATGTTTTCACATTAGTGAATTAGAACCAATAGGAGGAACCACCAGAAAAAGGAAACAAAACACAACAGAAGAAAAAAAAAAGAGCAAATAGTATGCTTCAATCTGCATTTAAACTCCATAGTTCTTTCTTTGGATGTGGATAGCATTTTCCATCATGAGACTTTTGGAGATGTCTTAGATCCTTGCATTGCTGAGAAGGGCTAAGTCTATCAAAGTTGCACAATATGGCTATTACTGTATACAACGTTCTCCTGGTTCTACTCACTTCACTTAGCATCAGTCCATACAAGTCTTTCCAGGTTTTTCTGAAGTCTGCCGGCTCATCATTTCTTATAGCACAATGGTGTTCCATTATATTCATATACCACAACTTGTTAGATTCTGTACCTCCTTTTCCATTTGGCCCATTTTGTTTTTTAAGGAGTTCTTATCTTCAGTGAGTTTTTGTGTCTCCTTTTTCATTTGGCCAATTCTGCTTTTTAAGGAGTTGTTTTCTGCAGTGTACTCTTTTTTTATTTGACCAGTTGTATTTTTTAAGGACTTGTTTTCTGCAGTTGATTTTTGTCCTTCTTTTTCCAGGCTATTGACTCTCTCTTGCATACCTTTCATTTCTTTTCCCATTTTTATTTCTGCTTCTCTCATTTGACTTTTAAAATCCTTCTTGAGCTCTTCTAAGAAGGCTTTTTGGGCTTCAGACCAGTTCTATTCCCTTTTGAGGTTCCAGATGTGAGTTTGTTGACAATGTTGTCCTCTTCAGAATTTCTGCCTTGATCTTCACTGTTCCCATAATAAGAATCTATAGTATATTTCTCTTTGCTGATGGTTTTTGCTTATTTCCTGGCCTTTAAAGAGATTGAGCTCTCCTTCTAGGGCGCAGGGGGCACTGACCCAAGCTTCATGTGCTGGGAGCCCATGACCTGGTCACTGGCTTTGTGTGCTGGGGCTTCTGATGCTGGCAGTTGGAGGCTGTAGGGTTCTGGCAGCTTACTTGGTATTGGGCTGGAATCAGCAACACTGGAACACTAAGGGTAGGATTGGGTAGTCTGGCACCTGGAGTTTGCCTGCTCACTGGGCCCTTTCCTTCCTTTTGCTTTCTTCAGCTCCTTTCAGATGGATGTTGCAGGATGTTTCTCCACCTAGGGCCCCTTGGAGCGCTTCCTAGAGTTTTGCTGAGGCACTGGGAGACTTGGTTGCCTTAGAATGCCAAAGCATATGGTGGTTTTTTGAGCTGGTTTCCACTGGTTCCCTTGCCCTTACTGAGACACTCAGGGGTCCTGGTGCTGGTGTTTGCCTGCTCTGCCACCTGGGGTTCAGAATCTCCCTCTGGGATGCTGAGGTGGGGCTTTCCTTCTAGCTTGCTGGGACACCTCCCATTGTGTGCTGCTCCCCTTGCCCCAGGGCAGAAGCGGCCTTTCCCATTAATCCCTCAAGCTACCTGGGCTATTTGACTGCTGTACCCATTCTTTCTTCTGGTTCAGCTATTCCAGGGTTTTTCCTGGGGTGATGTTTTCTGGGCTTTCAGAGGTTAATAAGGGATGGTAAGAGCAACTTATTTCTTACTCTGCCATCTTGGCTCCTGGAAGCTGAACTGAGAGCTGCAGATTTAAAGTGGAATGAATTGTAGTCTGGATTCTGCCCTCTACTCAGGAAAGCTTTGGGAGGGGTTTAGCACATTCCAGCCCTTCACTCAGAGTGGGCAGGAGGCTGAGGGGGATGGGAAGGCATAGCCAAGGCTAAGTAACACCTGGTGATGAGATTAGAAGTGATCAGCAACAATATAAAATGACAGTGGAAAGATAAAGGTGGTGCCAGAAGTCAAAATAGTTCAAATAACAAAATAATTCATCAATTTAAAAAAATTGGTATGGAGACCTGACAAACGAATTAGAGTAGAGAGAGAACTCTCAAAGAAAGAAGATGAAGAAGATTTCTGGTTGTCTATATCACTAGTCATTCAACCATTATCATTAAAAAAAATTCGGGGCATGCACCCTCTCTCTGTTAGGGCAGCTAGTTGGATAGAGTGCCAGGCCTGGAGTCAGAAAGATTCATCTTCCTGAGTTCAAATCTGGCCTCATACACTTATTTACTGGCTATGTGTGACCCTGGGCAAGTCACTTAACCCTATTTGCCTCAGTTCTTCATCTGTAAAATAAGCCGGAGAAAGAAATGAAAAACCACTCCAGTGTCTTTACCAAGAAAATCCCAAATGGGGCCACAAAGAGTCAGATATGACTGAAAACAACCGAACAACAAGACAACCTCTGTATATATGTGTTTATTTATAAATTGTATTCATGCACATAATTCTGAGTTTAGTTTACTTCATTATTTGGTTTTAATGGTCTAAGCTAAAAAAGGCACCTCACAAAGATTACTCCAAGTGGAAAAATTATGTTGTTGGAAAAATTACTTTTCATCTTCCCCAATGTCAAAAAAATATTCTTGAATGGTTACATTTTTAACAAATTGGCTTAAAACTCATGGAAATTCTTCATTCAAAATATTTCTAAACAAGTTAGGAGATTATGTTTCCAAGCTTTTAAAATATATGGATATGAGAGTTTTTACAGGTGACACACATAGTTTTTGGCAATAAAATCATGTACTATTTCATGAGATCATAAAGGTAGGACTGGAAAAGACCTCAACCCCTCACTTCACAGCTGTTAAACATTTCTAAACAATTATTTTCAAAATTCTCCATAGCACAAAGTTGTTTTTTTCCCCAAGAAGCAGTTTCTCACTTGTTATTAAAACACTAGTTGTATCTGATACCCAAGATATCTCAAGAACTCAGCCAGATAATACCAAAAGCCATTCTCCAAATAATAAATGGTCAAAAGATATTAACAAACTTCCCAATAAGTAAGGTATTAACTTATTATTAATTATCAATAAGTAAGCTATTAACAATCATATTAAAATTGCTTAAAATCACTAATGAGAGGAGAAATGTGAAGCAAATCAACTCTGAGGTTTCACCCCACACCTAGAAAACTGACAAAAGATGATAAAGATATATTTTTTAAAATAGTGTAAGGGGTGTTCCTTAAAAAAATAATCTTAGAAAAGGGGCCAATAGTGATATATGAAGGTAATTGTAAAAATATGGCTACTTCGGGTGATTCCTTTAGGACAGAGGTGGGGAACCTGTGGCCTTGAAGTTCTCTAGTGCTGCCCTTTGATTAAATCCAAACTTCAATGAACAAAGCCCCTTAATAAAAGGATTTGATTTGTAAAAGTTGGACTTAGTCAAAAGGCCACACTTGAGGAACTACAAGGTCCCCCCCCCCACTTTAGGATGTGCAAACAGGTCTCCTGAGTGAATTAGAAAAGAAATGCTGCCACAAAGCAAACAGTCATAACCCACCCTCTCCTTCCCTCCTGATGACTTTTCAAAGTCAGTTGAGTCAGTCCAGGAGGAAATTAGGTTCAAAAAGAAATCCAGCTCCTGATGAGATATACAGATGCAATGGATGCAGAAAGCTAAGGAAGGGGAAACCATAAGCAGCCACATGGACCTGGGAGGATCGAAGTGTAGGCACAACAAAGTCACCAGAAAGAAAGGGATCAGAACCTAGGAACAAAGCTGTTCGGACTTATCAGGCATGAGGATTGGCAGGACAAATGTAGCATTGCTGGAAGCTGGGTCTCCTCTCCCTGCCATCTTCCCCCAGGAATGGATCTTAAACTAGTAATCCTGTACCTTCATTCCCTTTTGGGTTCCCTCATGGAAGCTTTAAATCTTTCCCTCTGAGCATAGTGCAAGTGTGTTTACCTTTCTTTATTTTAAACATTTACTTTATACAGTGTTTGCTAGTCTGAGTGCACTTAGAGGAAATCCAGCTGAAAGGAGACAGTGGAGTGGGGACCATATTCAAAGAAGAGAAAGAGATAGATTTAACTGGGGAGTTCAAAGCTAAAAAAGATAGAGAAAATTACAGATCCTTTGACACAACTTCTATTGATCTGTCAAAGAAAATATTTCCCAACTAAAAATCCTCTCTCTCCTTCAGGGTCAGAATGAATACATCGCAAATCTCAAGGACCAGCTGCAAGAGTTGAAGGCAAAGACTAATATGGAGAGCCGATATGTGAAGAAAAACACTGACCTGCAGATTGCTCAGACCCAGAAAAAATGCAACAAAAATGAAGAGGTCTTGCTGGAAGAAATTGATGTAAGTTGTGTGTCTGAGTGAGCCAATGCAAGCTAAGCAGCCACTCCCTCATTGACCCAGCCTACAAAGCAACTGGAGGGTTAATGTGCTGCTGGACACTGCTCCATCCTCCAGCACCTCACATACCAGAGGACAGAAGCAAGCTTTGGGTTGTAAACTTGAGAGCAGAGATGCTGGTGGCCTAGAGCCGGAATATATTGCTCTTCTCTAGTGACACTGGAAGTTGGTTTATTTATGTTTAATCACTTTATCCTTATTTTGCAAAACCATGCCTTTGACTCCTTATAAGGGAAGGGTATACTTATAAAGTAGGGTACTCTGTGACCACATGTTTGTAGCAGTTAGGTGGTACAGCGGATAGAGCACTGGCCCTGAAGTCAGGAAGACCTGAGTTCAAATTTGGCCTTAGACACTTACCAGCTGTGTGACCCTGGGCAAGTCACTGAACCTCTTTTGCCTAAAAGAAAAAAAAACACCCACAACAGGAGTTCTTATAACTTTGTGAACGCTGCCAAGTTCATAGGGCTCTGCTTCCTTCTGCATTTGCAATGACAGGAACTCAAGATGTAAGCCTGGTAGTGGTTATTTGTCCTTCATTTTGAAGAGGACCAATGACATCATGGGTGATGTCTTGACTTGCTCTTGGATTGGATTTAAGTGAGGCAGCATTGCACAAAGTCATCAGCTTTACTCTCTTTTCCCAGTCATCAAAGTCCAGTCATAAGCCATGGACAGAAATAACCAAAGGGAAGGACCACAGAGTTGAAGGGAGAACAGTGATTAGCTGGGATTAGATTAATTTCATTTGGAAATCTGTAGCATAAGAATATGAACCCTCCAAAGAGTGTGACATCTAGTTGTAGGCATCCTACCTTAGGTACTCCTGATTACCTGGTGTTTGACTTTCCAAAATGATGGGTGTATCCCTTTTCTCTGGACTTTAACATTGACTTCTGTAGCTTGCAGACTGTTATCCAAGCTTTAATCCCCTCTCTGCTTGATCTAGGCTGGCATGGTATCCTCACAAATTGGTATAGCTTTCCTACTTTTCCCATTTTTTTCTTTCCATGTCAAGAAAGCTACTGTCCTTTTTTTTTTTCCTTAAGAGCCATTCCAGCCCCTATCGATGAGTCCTTTGGGATTACGTGACTCAAAGATGAGAAGCTTATGTATATCACCACTTCATACTTATCCCCCTTTTCCCAACTAAAGCTTGTAATTTGCCAGTGAAAACCCCAGACATCTCCTTGTCTATTTTACTCACAGAAACTGAGACTTAAAATTGAGGAAGAGGTTCGGGTCCACCTAGAAATTGAAAGCTTCCTCAAGAAAGAACAACAGGTGGGTAGCTCAAATGATTTAAATTATCCCTTAAGAGTATTAATTACAAACCAGGCAAGGCCTTTTAATGTTTTCTGAAACTAGAAGTTCATGTGATCAAACCAGGAGGAGCACTTCAAGAGTCTTCATTTGGATAATTATAGAGCAAATAACTGGGTTTATTGACATATAGCTTAATCCCATCTACCTGTGGGAAAGACCCCTTTCCCGGACAAGGTCTAGAAATTGAAGAGTAACAGGAAACTAAGGAGATTTTTGAGGATGTTTCTCAGAAGAGAATCACAGAATCTCAGAGTTATCAGAAACCTCAGTCCAATTGATACGTGCACCAGAAAAACCTCTAAAAATGGCTTGAGGGCCTCTGGTGAGGGAGAGCCCAGTACCTCCCAAGGCAGCTCATTCCACATTGGGGTGCTTCTAATTATTAGGAAGTCTTCCCTTAAGCAAGTCACTGAATGTCTGTGGGCCTTAATTTCCTTAATCAAAATTAAGGAGTTAGACTAGATTATTTTGAAGAAAGTCCCTTCCATCTCTAAATATGTGATCCTGTTATTCTTATAGTAATCTCCAGTCTGCCTCTCTGTGATCCCACTGATTGCTTTTGGTTCTGACTTCTGGGGCCAAGAAGAAGTGTTACCCCTCTTCCAATAAGTTATAACCCTACCCATACATGAATATAGCTATCATTTCTACTCTCTTCCCCAAATAAGTCTTTTCTTTTCAAAAGTATACCCAGTTTTATCAACTGATTCTCATATAGCTTAATCTTAAAGTCCCTTTCCTCTGGATTTTTTCCAGCTGGGGCAATGGATAGATACTGGGTCTGGAGTCAGGAAGACTCATCTTCCAGTGTTCAAATCTGGCCTCAGACACTTCCTAGATGTGTGACAGGTCACTTAACTCTGTTTGCCTCAGTTTCTTCATCTGCAAAATGAGCTGGAGAAGGAAATGCAAACCACTTCAGTATCTCTGCCAAGAAAACCCAAATGGGGTCACAAAGAGTCAGATACAACTCACCAACAACAGCAAAGGTCCTTCCAGGTTGCTTAATCTAACGTCCTCATTTTACAGATGAGAAAACTAAAGTCTAGATAAATGAAACAACTTGCCCAACAAGATCACCCAGGTAGGAATAGGGCCAAGATTCAGCTCCATAGTCTATAATCCCAAACCTTTTAAACCCCCAGAATTTTTTTCCCCAAATGAATTCCTATCCAGCCATGCCTCCCCCGTTTTACACTTATAAAGTCAGCTTTCTGAACCCATCTGTGAGCCATTTAGATTTGGCAAAACATTCTATACCCTGTCAAGATTTTTTCTGTATCTAATGTGTTACTGATTGTTCCTAGCTTTGTGTCATCTGAAAATTTGATAAATATATCAACTAAGTTTTTATTCAGCTCACTGAAGAAAATGGCCAATAGTAGAGAGCCAAGCCCAAGCATAGAGCCCCGGAGCACACCGTCCATTAGTGAAAGGCCTCCTTTCAAGCCGACATTGAGCGGTTAATGACTGCTCTTTGGTTCTGTCCATGCAGACAGTTTTGAATACATCTAACTGTATTTTCTTTTTCTCATGTTTCAAAATTTCAAAATTATGTTTCTTTGTAGAACCTATTGTCTTGTGGATTGCATAGTGAAATAGTCTCTTTATATTTGTTTCAGTTAACAAGCACTTGTTTTCACTCTCTCCCACATCCTACGCTCCACTGGAAAAGAAAAAACAAAAACAAAATCCAAATCCCTCGTAACAAATATGCATGGTCAAGCAAAACAAATCCCCAAATAACTGGACTCTTGTCTGTCTACTTCTCTTTATCTTTTCTGCAAGAATAGCACAAGAGACTTTGTCAGATCTTTTCCAGCAATCTAGGGGTAATCTATATCCATAGTATTTTCCTGGTCTACCAATTTAGTAACCTTGTCAAAGAAAGGAAATCAAGTCAATCTGTCATGACCTGTGTTTGATTAAGCCATGTTGGCTCTTTGTAACCACCATTTCCTTTTCCTTTAATAATACAGTCTAATATTTTGCCAGGAATTAAGTCAAGTTCACTCGTCTGTCACTTGGAGCCTTAGCCTCTTCCCTTTTTTTGGAAAACTGGGACACTTCTCTTCCTCCAATCCTGTGGTGCCTTTCCTATTCTCTGTGATCCTTCAGAGGTTAGTGACAGTGCAATAATACATCTGCCAGTTTTTTTTAGTAACTTTGATGTAGTCCTGCTGGGCCCATTAACTGCAATGAATCAAAGAAGGCTAAGGGCTCCATTATTATCTTCTTATGTAAATCTTAGGCTTCAACTCAGAATTAGTCACCTTTCTTCTTGCTTTCTCAGCGCAAAGCTTGTTATCCTTAGCAGAGAGAGCAGAAATGAAACAAGAGTTGATTAGCAATCCCTTGTCTGTTATTTGTTATCCCATCTGCCCTAAGGAGTGGTTTTATCTCTTCCTTGATCTTTTCTTTTCTCTTTTTCAATACAGTTTTTTTTAAAGCCCAAACCCTTTTTTGTTCTTCTTTGCCTTCCTTACCAGCTCATTCCAAGCTTTAGATTCTATTCTTACAGACTCATATCACAATTTTGTAGACATCTTGAAGGAATTAGTTTTTGGAATCTTGTACCCAGAGAGCTGTAGAATTCAAGATCCATTTCATCAGTCATTTTCTCCAGACATTCAGCCCAGGTCCTCCTTTGATTGCTTTATGAAAAAAAAAGTCTCCCTTTTCCTTTTTCTTTTCTTTTTTATGCAGTAGTGGTTAAATGACTTGCCCATGGTCACATAGCTAGCAAGTGTCTGAGGTTGGATTTGAACTCAGGTTCAAATCCTCCTGACTCCAGGGCTGGTGTGCTATCCACAGTGGAGCCATCAAGCTGCCCCTTTCCCTTTTTCTTAATGACTCTCTCCAAACTCTCTGGTCACATAACATCTCTTTGCCCTTATAATCTCTCTAACTCTTTTACTTCCTTCTTTCAAATCTCACTCTTAAATTGAGTAAATTGAACAGTGTCTATCTCCCTATGCTGTTTGTCCCTCATTCTGGAAGAGGACCAATGACATCAGGAAAGTGATGTCATGACTTGCAAGTGAATTGGATTTAGGTGAGAGAGGTGCTGTGCAAAGTCGCCAGCCTCACTCTGTCCTCCAGAGCCATCTGGGTCCAGTGGCCAGATATGGATCATGACGACTAGAGATGGCCCCCATCTCCCTTTGACCCAGTGGCCAACAGATCTAGCACAATTTGGGAGAATCAATTCCTTTGGCTCAAAAGGACATGATACAGTACTGGTTATCCCAGTCCTAACATCTCCCCTTGCCAAAAAAACAAATAAACAAAAAAGAAAAACAGGCTGGTTCTGACATTTCATCTTAGGTATTTGGCTTGCTACATATTGACCCTAAGGAAACAGGACTGAACCATATGGTTGATGCTCTTCAGCAATGACCTAAAACTTTGGTGTTAGAGTAGGGAGCAAGAGGGGTATTTCCAGCACTGATCATATTTCTTTTTTTAATGTATTTTATTTCATTAAATATTTCATAATTACATTTTAAAAAATTTAAGTCATTTTAAAAATTTTGAGTTCCAAATTATTTCCCTCCTCCTCCTCTCCGCCCCCCTTCCTCAGAAGGCAAGCAGTTTTATATCACTTACACATGTGAAACCACATAAAAAACATTACCATATTAGGTAAACTACAAAAGAAAACATGGACCAAAAAACACCCAAGAAAAATTAAGAAAGTAAAAAACAAGTGTGCTTCAATCTGCATTCACAGTTTATCAGTTCTCTCTCTGGAGGTGGATAGCAATTTTCATTAAGAGTTCCTTGGGGGGGCAGCTAGGTGGTGCAGTGGATAGAGCACCAGCCCTGGATTCAGGAGGACCTGAGTTCAAATGCAGCCTCAGACACGACACTTACTAGCTGTGTGACCCTGGGCAAGGCACTTAACCCCCATTGGTCCCCCACCCCAAACAAAAACAAGAGTTCTTTGGATTTGTCTTGGATCATTGTCTTGATCAGAGTAGCTAAGTCTTTCACAGTTTGATCAACTTTCTTCATATAATTTTGGACCAAAGATTTTTTTTTCCTGAAGTCATTTTGAACATCTTGGAAATCCTAGCCTGATATTGACTGAGATTCAAGAGATTTGAACCAGAGTAGCCTCAGGAATGTTTTGTACTTGGTTGTCTTCATGCCATATTTTCAATTTTCTGTTACTTTCCTTCCTCAGAATCTTCATTTTCTTCTCTGGTTCTTAATTTTTTTTTTCCCAAACAGAAACTGGAAGAGAAGTTAGAGTACTGGATGGAGAAGTATGATAAAGACACAGAAATGAAACAGAATGAACTGAATAGTCTTAAGTCTGCAAAGGCCAGTGACTTGGCAACCTTGCAGGATCTTGCCAAACAGGTGAGGAAGAAACAGGAGCTGTCCAGAAAGTCTTACAGGCCATCACACCAACTCAGAGCAGGCAGCCTGAAAAGAGAAGCTGTTTCAGCCAGAATTGTCTTCTGTATTGGGATTGAAGGCAGCCATTTCCTGGGAGGTTTTACATATAGAGATTCATCTGTGTTCCTTGTGCTCAATCCGTGGAACATCCTTAGACTTTTCTACTCAGAGCAGAGAAGGGACAACAAATAAGCTTTTTTTTGTCTGTATTCATGCCTTTATCTTTTTTGCAGACTCGTGCAAGACCTTAGAGCCCTTCACTTGAATAGAACATGTGGGGTGTGAGGAAACCACTTAGTTCTGGAGTGTTTTCTTGTGGTGGAGAGCTGGAGGAAGGGGTGGATAAGGAAGCTAGGGGCTTTTGGCCACCTCATAGGTTATGGATCAGTTCCACTTGCTTTAAATGGGATGAATGGGGCCAAAAAGAAAAGTCCTGCTTAATAACACATAGTCCTTCTGCATTTGGTGTGAAGCCAAGATAAGGACATGCCCTAGTTAAGGACGGAGGTTCCACCACTTGAAATATTTGTCTGATTCAGGTACTATTCTGATGTTCTGGTTTTGTTTCAGCTCATTAGTTGTTTTTTTTAAAGGTGTAGGCTGAGACACCAGTCTGAACTGATTCCCCAGATAGTTTTCATTTTAGAAAAGTCCAACAAACATGAACGGCCAGACACTGATATCCACTTACAAGATTTAGCAATTGAAATGTGATAGATTTAAAATAACCCTTAATAGAAAATTAAAAGAAAAAAAAACAGTTAACAAGCCATTGAGGGTTGGTGCCAAGAGCCCCAGAGTGGGATGAAGAAGACCCCCATTCTGTCTCTTGTTCTGTCTCTCTTTGGTTGTATGACCTTACCTGAAGGAGTTTTAAAAAAATTATTAGGTATTTCCCATGTGTCAAGCACTGTGCTGAGTGTTGAGGATGCAAATGGAAAGACAAGGCAGTCTCTGCTTCCAAGGGGATCATAGTCAAATCGGGGGAGACAGCAGACAAAGGAAAGTTCAGCTGCCAAAGGGCAGATGACAAGGCCTGGAAGTTCTTCACCTAAGTGAGGGACAGAGGAGACTCAGATGACTTTGAAGTTGCCATCCTGGGTGATGAGGAAATTATGACTTAATTTAAACTTAAACAAAAATAGAAGAGAAGGACAGACTTCAAGGAGGAAGAGGCTGCATTCAGTTTTGGAGACACTGCCTATGAGGAACCAGTGGGATATCCAGGAGGAAGCAGAGACCTAGATTTGGGAGGAAACTGAAAATGGTCATGTGAACTGGTAATGACTGAGGCCAGAGAAGCATGCCGGGGCACTGAGGGAGAGGGTATAGAAGAGACAAGGGCCGAGGACAGAACTCGGGCAACAGCAGCAAGAAGAAAATGAGGAGCAGGCAAAGGGAGGAGAGAAGAGCAGTCAGGCAGGGACCCAGAGAGGAGGGGGGTGAGGATCAACCACAGTGAATGCTTCAAAAGGGAGGAGGACAGGAAAAAACCCAACAACCATTGGATTCTGTGATTATGATGCCATCCCTGACCTTGGAGAGAAGAGGAGAAGGAGGAAGCTAGGTGGCCCAGTGGATAGAGCACTGGCTTAGAATCAGGAAGACTCATGATTCCTGAGTTCAAATCTGGTCTCAGACACTTAGTAGCTGTGTGACCCTGGGCGAGTTAACCCTCTTTGTCTCAGTTTCCTCATCTGTCAGATGAGCTGGAGAAGGAAATGGCAAACCACTCCAGTGTCTTTGCTAAGAAAACTCCAAATGGGGTCATAAAGAGTGAGACACAACTGAACAACAACATAGTTATAGTGGAGTGATGGGGACAGACAGACTGCAAAGGTGGAAGAGTCGTTGTGTGGGATGTGGAGGATGTGAGCAGACCCTCCAAGTTCCATTCAACTCCACTGGGCTGGATTTCAGATTAAAGGGCAGGACTGTGGCATGGCCAGCGATGTGCTGACATCTGACCAATGTATGTCTTTGCAGTTAAGGGAGTTCGAGCAAGTCATTATTGAAGATCGTCTAGAAAAGGAGAAGGCCAGGAAGAAGATAGACCAGGATGCCCTGGAACTGAAGAGCATCATAAAGGTAGAAAGTGAAACTTTTTTAACATGCATAATAATGACCTTTTAATAGAAAGTCATAGTTAGCCCAGTCACTGAGTGATATAATTGTTACCAGTGGGCTCAGGCCTACAAGGAGCCACAGTCCTGGGCACACGAGGACCAAGTTAGCCCTGAGTGGCTCTAACTCCACATGGGGGGCTGTTAGGAGAAGGGAAGGTCAGGCTTCTTTCACTCTGTCTCTTTCTGACTCACTAGGTTCTTACCCAAAAGCAAACCTTCAGGACATCTCTAAAACAAACTTAGAGTTCCTTAAGGGAAAATCCCTGGATCTAATTCATGGCTAACATCTTCCCCAAATGCAAGTTAAAAGGTCTCTTCTAAAAAAAGGCATTTAATATACAACATATCAGGTAGAAGACAGCAGTTTATTTCTTCTACCGCAGAAAGACTTATTTGTTTATGACATGAAAGACTCAGAGATGCATCCAAAGAAATACAAAAAATGTAAAACACTCATTTAGCCCATTATACTCATTATATTCCTCGAGAAAAGTAAAAAATAAACAAAACAAAACCAAAAACAAATTTAAAAAAACCCCTTAATGGGACTGCTGAACAGGTATGGATACTTCACATTTGCTTCCAATCTGCTGTTGGCAGGGAAAGGGGAATGCCCTGGGACAGCCTGACTCAGACCATCACCTTTTTAGTTCAAGTTTGATGTTGGAACAAAGAGAAGCACTTGTAGGTTATTCAACAATTAATGAAAGGAGTTTTACTTAACCAACATATGAAGGATATTCAGTAAAGATACTGCACCACTTAGCTTGGGTAGATGTCTCCCCGACCCCTTCCCTGCAGATCTCCTTATGGAAATAACGCCTGGTCAGCAGGGTGGGGTGGTAGGGTGTGGTGATTTGCTTGGTCTCAGCACATCCTCCAAGTTTCAGAAAGGCCTAGACCTTATGGGGGGGGGCATGCCTTTTTATGCCCTTAGGTGACCAAGAAGCCACCTCAGTGTGGCTGGAGGCTGCCACAAAGCTCTGTACAGAGAGACATGGCTTAAGCCTTGGCTACTCATGTCCTGGGAACACCTTTGTTTCCTTTTAAGGACGCTAATCTAACCTATGCTTGGGGAGAAGGTTATCCTCCGGCCTATCATACCTGCTTGGTCTGAGCACCCGCCAAGACAAGGATCTCTGGCTAGCCAGAACTGACCAACTCCAGGCTGATCTGGCGGTGGCCGCCTTCTCCAAAAAGCTCCTTTCCCTCAGATCGGTTGGCATTTGATTTTGGAGCTCATAGAGGCTCCTTCCAAGGCTGGAAATATCCACTTTGCAAGAACACTGCTTACTGACCTGTACCCCAGGAAGAAAGCAGCAAACAGAGGCACGCACCAGGGAATTAGGGTCACCTAGACCAGCTTATATGCTCCTTCTGCCATGGACTTGTCGTCATGATTGCTGATTATAGCGGGTGGGGAGAGAAATGTCTTCCTCACCCACTTACTGGGTGTCAGAGAAGTAGAAGATTCCCAAAGGGAAGGGCTCCCAAAAGTGAAGCAGAAAGTTTGTTCTTGCTCCACGTATAGAGCAGAGACTAGATGACTTCTCCTTAGACAGTCAACAAATCTCTTCTCTGTAACACTCCCCACCTCAGCACCCAGTCAAGGGGACCAGGGCATCCATCTGGAGTTGCTGTATCAGCCCAGCCACACAAAGCCTACATCCCTCAGCAAAAGGGGCCATGCCTACCACAGACAACAAACATTCTTCATGAAAGAGATCTTGGTTTGCCACAGAGCAGGAAATACATAAGGATGCGTCATGAATGATAGTGAAAGTCAATACTATTTTCCTCCACAATCCAACCACTTATGCCATAGTAATTTTGGAAGAGAAGGGAAACTTGAAAAAGGGAAGCCACTGGGGAGGAAAAAAAGAGGTGATTAGAGGTTGAAGAGGAAGGTAACAATAGAAGAGTTTGTGTCCATTGGAGTTGGCCACCTGGATGATCTTTGCTGATTTTTTCCTTACAACTTTTTATCACTTCAAAAATATTTAATACGTAACATTAAAATTTGTGAATTCACTTGTTTTACTGGATTTGGCATGGAGTTCAAAAGATTTTGACACGTATTCTATAATTCTTCATCACGAGGCCACACTTGTGTCACATTGGATATTAAGTGTTCCTTTGACAAAACGTCCATTTTTTCCAAATCTAGTCTTGATTGAAGCCCATGGTTTTTCAACGAAGTTTAAACCAAATGAGTTCCCAAGCCCCTGCAGCATGTTTATCTTCATCTCTTGTATATTTTTTTAAACCTTTTGTGATGAGTACTATGCTGTAAGGAAGCAGCTAGGTGCTTCAAAGGGCAAAAGAAAAAAAAATTGGCCTGATCAGAGTTCTGAAAATCTGACCACAAAGTCCAAAGCTGAGTCCCTATACACCGTACAGCACAGTCAGGGACGGGTTCTCAAAGCAGATGGTGACATCCCACCCCTACTGTGCCGCTGGGGCATATATGTTTATGTTCAGACAATAGCTTTTTATTTTCCCAGTCATGAAAAATGCTGCTGCTTGTTGGGGACATCACAGACATGTCCCTCACCACCTCTCCTTCTCTCCTCCACTATCTAGCTTCAGGCCTGGTGGAGAGGGACCATGGTACGGAGAGAACTGGGCAATTTCAAGATGCCTAAGAAGGAGAAAGACAACGGCAAGGGGGCGAAAGGCAAAGGGAAGAAGCAACGACAGAAGAGAAGATGACGGTGCTTCTTCTGGCTCCTTTTCTTTTCTTCTTTCAGGGGGTTAGAAAGTAGAGAGGAGGAATTACAAGGGGTGAACACCTCACCAGCTGGATGTTATTTCTTATCTAAATAACGTCCTGGGGAGGGCCAGGACCAGACCCAGGTCCTTGATGATTTCACGTTGTTCTTTTGAAATTAAGTCCTGAAACAAGATGCTTTATTTTAGGACAAAGTTTGGATTTCTCTGTCGATTTAGTGCCTTATATAGTCTGACCCTGTATTGAGAAGGACCTTTTCCAGGGGCTCTAGGAAGACTTCTCTCTCTTTTGACACCAGTACAGCTAGAACAAACAATTTCTGTGCCCATTTACAGCAAAATTGTTTGATGAAGATAAAAGTACTGGAGTTAATATTGTGTCCGTGTCTAATTTTATTCCAACTCACCTATAGCAAAGAAAAATTCTTCCAGTAGTTTAACCTAGCAATACACAGCAAGAATGAATTTAGGGGATACAACCCACAGCCCACAGATGCGTATATTTAGTCTTGTCTTCTTGTCTCTGTGGTATAGTGTGTATTTCAGTATCTTTTTGTTAAATCACCCTTCTCCTAGTTCTCCTTCCCCAGAAGCTTCCTCCACTGAAGCCTGTCTCATGGTTCTTCCTCCTGTCTTTGCTCCCTGACCTTCTTTTCCCAAAGGGTGACGACCCCTCAAGAGTACTATCAAACTCCCTCACTGGGCTCATGGTGGCCATCTCAACGGTCTCCACTCTTGCTCTTGTCCTTCCTAGAGTTGAGGCATATCTGCTGTGGCCAAATGCATCCCCCCCAAGAGTGTCTTCAGGGGTGTCTTCAGGGAGATGATGTTGTTGAATGTGCATCGTCACATTGGGTCAGTCTGGCCTGTGCCCTCTTCACTGACTGCTGTGGGTCTTCTGCTGGCTGGACAGAAGTGAGCAGCATGGTATCACCCCAAGGCAAACAAAGGAGTTGGAAATGGGGGTTTATAAAGTGCAGTTATCATCGTGTGTTCTGATGGGGTGTGTAATTCTAGAAAACAGAGTGGATTATTTTATGGTTGAGGAGAGAGCTGGGGCCTGGTATAGAGCAGTGAGGGGTTAATATTTTGCAGAGGACCCTTTCTGATGTTAAGGTCATTTTTCTCATCCTTACCCCACCTATAGGCTTCTTTTTTCTCTTCGCCCTTGGTTGACCAGTGGTTCCTCTCTATCCCATTTCCTTACTATGCCTAATATACCATAATCCTTCCCATTCATCCCATCCCCAGTCTCATCATCTAACCCTTAACTTCTTACCTAGAAAACTGTTAGTAGTTTCCCAGAGGGCAGTTTGAAAATCATTACTGTCCTCTGGAAGGTTTGAGGTCTTTCCATAATGGAGAATAGGATTTTCTGGCTTTTACAATATGTGCAGTCATAAAATGTAATATTAAAAATACTCCTATGTGCAGCATCACCTTGCTTCTACCACAGATGGCTTCAGTTTTTTCCGTAGGGAGGGTAGTAAGTTTTATGTTGGCAGGAAGGCAAAATAAAAGTCATTAGTTGCACCAAACAAATTTTATTTTTGCCTTTTATTTTTGTTTTCAAATCACAGCCATTTCTGGATACGCTCCCCACTCCCACCGCCAACCCCAACTCCATGAGCCATTGACAAAAACAACCGACTCAGTAACTATGTCTCATAATGTATGCAATATTCTGCACCTAGAATCCCCCACTTCTCTACTGAAAAGGAGCAGGGTATACATGTTCTCCTAGGACTAAACTAGTTATTACATATCACCTCCTAGCTTAGTCTTCTGGACACTCTGGGGCCTCATTACTACCAGGCTTGCGGGGAATTAGTTCCAGGACACAGCCTCCTTCTGGCCTGAAACACACCACCTCTTGCTCATGCCTATTGCAAGACAAGCGTCCACATGCCTGGACATAACCGCATGGCAGGCAAAAGAAGTGCCAGAACCTTGGGGGTCAGCCCGTCTTCATGAATGGATCTCACCATTCCTCTGCCCCAAATTCCTCTGCAGCTGGTTAGCATACCCCCATCCCTTCTGTGTCTTGTACCTAGGACTCTGAATCTTTGACTACTGGAAGAACAATTCCCCTTCCCTCACGCCAGCTGTCTGCTCCTTCATTCTCATCTACCCCAGCCTTGACTTCCAAAGGGGAAGAGAGCCTTTGATCTCCCCAGACTCCACGTCATTGATTAGGTCCATAGCCACTACCTAGGAATCAGTTTATATGAATTTAGGTCAAGCATTTATTAAGCACCTATTATGTGAAAGACAGCACAGTGGATAGTGTAATGAGCTGGGAATCTCAAAGACTCTTCTTCCTGACTTCAAACCTGGCCTCAGACACGAGCTGTGTGACCCTGGGCAAGTCACTTAAGCTGATTTGCCTTAGTTTCCTCGCCTGTAAAATGAGCTGGGGAAGGAAATGGTAAACCACTCTAGTGTCTTTGCCAAGAAAACCCTAAATGGGGTCACGGAGAGTCAGAGATGACTGAAACAACTCAGCAACAACATGTGAAAGACACTGTACTTAGTGAAGAGGCTACAGAGAGAGGAAAAAAGAGTTCCTGCCAACCAGAGGCTTACAATCTAATGGGTGGGGGTGGGGCGAGGGGGAGACTACATTCAAACAAGATGTGAGGAAAGGCAATGAGATTAGAGATCAAGAAAGGTTTCTCGGGACAGCTAGGTGGCGCAGTGGATAGAGCTCCAGCCTTGGAGTCAGGAGGATCTGAGTTCAAATCCAGCCTCAAACACTTGAGACTAGCTGTGTGACCCTGGGCAAGTCACTTAACCCCAAGTGCCTCACCAAAAAAAAAAAAAGGCTTTTTTGCAGAAGATGGGATTATAGTTGAGACTTGAAGGAAGCCAGGAGATGGAAATGAGGAGGAAGAGAACTCCAGGTAGGAGGAATGGCCAGTGAAAATGCAAAGTCAGGATATGAAGTGTTGGGTGCAGCAAGGAAGCCAGATTCAAAGGATTTTAGAATACATGGGGAGGGGAATAAGTTATAAATAGATTGGAAAGATAGGAGGGGGCCAGGTTATAAAAAATTAACAACAAAAAGACTTTAAAAGCCAAACAGAAGATTTTATTTTTGATCTTGGAGGCAATAGGAAGCCACTGGAGTTGACTGAAGAGAAGGGTGATATGATCAGACCTAAGCTTTGGAAATATCATTTGATAGCTTTGACAGAGTGGAGAATGGACTGGAATAACGTGGGAGCTGAGGCAGGCTATGGAAATAATCCAGGCATGAGGTAACGAGGGCCTGCACTAGCGTGGTGGCAGCATCAGGAGAAAAGAGATATTGCAGAAGTAGAATCAATAGGATGTGGCAACAGATTGGACATGACAGGGTGAGGGCAAGTGAAAAGTAAGGATGTGACCTGCGTTATCAGCTAGGGTGACTGGGGAGAGTGGGGTGCCTTTGACAATAATAGGAACGTTAGGAAGAGGGGAGAGTTTGGGGGGAAAGAGACAAAGTTCAGGCTTGGATGCGTTTAAGACATCTATGGGACCATCAGTTTGAGATCTCCAATAGGCAGATGTTGGAGGTCAGGAGAGAGGTTAGGGCTAGATAAATAGTTCTGGGAATCATTTGCATAGAGATAACAATTGAATTCATGGGAGCTGATGAAATTGTGTAGAGTGAGGAAAGAAAAAAGCCCAAGACATATCCCTTAGGGACATCCATGGTTAGCTTGTTGTAGTTTGTCCTTCATTCTCGAAGAGGCCCATGACATCAGGAGGATGAGGCCATGACTTGAAAGTGAATTGGATTTAAGTGAGGGAGGGCTGTGCCCAGCCACCAGCCTCACTTTCTCCTCCAGTGCCATCCAGGTCCAGTGGCCAGATATAGATCAAGACGACTGGAGATGGCCCTGGATGCAGTTGGGAGACCTTAATCTTTTTAAGCTAAGGTCTTTCCCAGGTCTCAGTTTGTCTGAGGCTATACTCATTCAGTGATTAAGGCTAGACAAGAAATGAGACCAAAAAAAATGACTTCTTTTACCTACTTAAAACAAAATCATTCTGGGAGGGTAAGACCCTCAAGGTTTCTGGTCAAAATAGAAACAATGGCTATTTACACTCACTCTGAGACAACAAAATCCAAACAATGACAAACTGAGGCTTGGGTTGGGGCCCCTTATTGGCCTGTGAGAGCCAGAGTGATTTGGGTTTAAGGCATAATCAAATAGCTCCATTTGAATCCCAATGGGCTTTATCAAAGCCTGGTTTTCCAGAACTTTATTTCAAGAAATTTATATTCCTTTGGGCAGAGCACCCACATGTAAGTTATGATTTCCCATGGAGGGGCAGGGAGGGAAGGAAGGAAGGAAGGAAGGAAGGAAGGAAGGAAGGAAGGAAGGAAGGAAGGAAGGAAGGAAGGAAGAAAGGAGCAGAATTGCCCAAATGAAACTGGCCAGTTACAGTTGGGTTCCCAGTGGGGCAACTACACCAATGTTAGCAGTGTGATCTGGATGAAGATCTAGCAAAGGAGACCGAAAAGTAGTGGACAGACAGGTAGGAGGAGAACCAGGAGCAGAGTGAAAAAAAAAAAACAAACCCAGAGCAAAAAAGGGTATCAAGGAGGACAGGACAATCAACTGTGTGGGACAGAGACCACTTACTCAAAATTAAAACAAAGACTTAGATACCTTGAAAGTAAAAAGGAGTTTATTGCTTTCTCCTGAGAAAGGGTACCGCTCCTAGTCACCATTGCTGGCCAAAAGAGTACAAGTTGGTTACAGAAACGAAGCCTTATTTTATACCCTAACGTGAGCTCCTCCTTCCTAACCCCCTTTCCCTTATCCCATTGGCTGGGCTTTCAGGGGGCACAATCTAGTCCTCCCAGCAACAGAGAACAAAGGCAGTTATACAAGTTTGCCCAGAGACAAGAAAAGCGGGAAGTTTTGCAAGTGCAAGCAGTTCAGGTTGGGGGTAGGGCTATTCTTTTTGCTACTTACTTAAAAACAGGGTCTGGGTGGGGGAGGGTTTTGAAAACAACAATACAAGAACTATTAACAAGAACCAATGACCCTTTGAGGAGGCTTCACTTCCTGAGAGATCATCTCTCACAACAGCATTAGAGGCTGCAGATCTTGAAGGATGAATATTGAGAAAAGACCTTCGTTTTGGTTAACTTTGAAGAGAGCATTTTCAGTAGAATGATAGAAGCTAGACTACAGAGTTAAGAAAAAAGTAAGAGGACAGGAAGGGGAAGCACCACATGTAGATGGCCTTCTCAAGGAGTTTAGCCATGAAAGGGAGGAGAGATATAGGGTAGGGAGTAAGTGATGGGGTATGGGCGCAAGCTGAGACCTTTGCCCCTCACCCCAAAAAGAATTTAGGTCCCATTTGTCTGTGGGC